AAGAGTCCAGCTCTCCACTGTGGGGCAAGTAGGCATGAGTTAACAGTGCACTGGGGACAGAAACGAACTATGCAATCTTTCATGATCTGCAATAGCACTAGAAAGTAAATGCCAGGTTAGATGAGGCTCTATTTATAGCCCTGAGTTCAGGCTTCCCTCTCTAATGAGTCCTCACATGCTGACTGGGAATTTTTTCGTAAAAGAGGCCTCCAGGAAGATGACTCTGGCTGAGGACTGTGGTATTTAAGCTTTGCAAGAAGGAAGCTCATCTGTATCTCTTTTATACAGGCAATTCTCAGAATTTGCCTGTGGATATCCCCTTCAGGAAAAGATGACACCAGCAATGAAGAAATATCAACAAGCACAAGGAATCACAAAAGAGATGTGGTGGGGACACTGACAGACCCAGAAACCAGACAACCCAGTAATTGCTTTTGGGTAGCCTTGCCTGAAAGCTTTCATTAAAAATTTGGAAGAGTACCCACTCCTTTTGGGTGCCTTGGCATAGAACAGTCATGGCCTTCATCCAAAACCCATGAACCTCAGCAGCTTGTGTTGACTTCTCTTGGAGCTGCATCCTAGGTTACTACAATGGCCACAACTCTAATTATTAATCCCATGTTGCCTTGCCTCTTGCCCGTATACAGCATCTGTAGTTTATCTAAGGAGCAGACACTTTCTGCAGGAAAGGAGTTGATTCTCAGTCTATGCATATGTGTCACCCAGCTCCACAGAAACCCAAACTGTACTTGGGGACTATGGGCTCCATCAGCCATACCTAAAAGTTGTTGTGACAGTGACAGGATATAGACATTGAGATTGAAAAGTCTGGTGGAAAACAGAAGAATCCAGCACCCTAATGATTCAGAGGGTTCATCCCTGCAAACAATGATGAACATTGCATAGCCAGGGAATCACCATCTCACAGGAAAGAAGAAAAGCTCCTCCAAGGTCATCTGCTAGGAATGAAATTGGAAATAGAGTAGGGAAGGTGAAATAAAGTAGCACAGATTTTCACAGCTGCCCTGTGATGCTGCCCCAAAATGAAGGACTTAGGCACTCCATCAGGTGAGGTTTCAAAAGCATCTTCCAGATCACGCTTTGAAATATCCAAGATCCAAAAGACTGTCAGCTCACTGTTGATGTTCCCAATGATCCATTCAACTGGATTACAAAGAATTATGACCACTGACAGTAATATGCACTCAGTGCTCCAAAAACTAAACCCAAAGCATTCCGGATTTAGTCACGTCTATATGACTCACCAGCCTTTACCTCTTCAGGGCTCAGATTCAGACCTCAAGTTATGAAAGGAAGCCAGGAATGTGCTAAAGGCATTGTCACCTGCAGTCAACACCAAGGATGTTTACATGAAGAGGTGTCCCTGTTCCAGCAGGTGTCCTTGGGCTTCTGCTCAGTGCAAGGGAAAACTACAGCTCTGGACTGTTCCCTCCTTGCCTCCCAGTCCTGCTAGCCAGGTGGGTTGTGCTGGTCTCAGGAGAAATACCAAGAGCAAGGAAACATGTGGGTTGCATAAGGGGAATAGTGTCTAGGAGGAGCAATAGGAGCTACTGTTGCTAAAACCTAACTTTCCTACCTGGCAACTTTCCTCCTCTGTTCTCCACACACAGAGGAGAAGCACGCCACCTGCTAGTTAAGCCTGGAGAGGTCATTAAGTACAGAGGTGTTGCCTGCAGTAGTCATGATGGGAAAGTAACAAAAAACTTCTATAGATGTTTTGCTGGACACATCCCTTGGGGGTACTACTGGCTGAGATTTTGAGGCTGTCAGAGTTGCCTAAATTATCCAGCAAGATGCTCCTTGATCCAAAGATGATGTAGCAGAAACAAAAAATGGTATCAACCCATGCTTCTGCCACTGCTGGTATTGCAGGGAGCTGGGGTGTTGTTAGAGCACCACATCAAAAGGAACTGTCACTGTTCTATAGATGTTGTTGGCCAGCCCAACAGGGGTTAACACAAATATCATCAGTCTGCTGCACCCAAAGGCCAAGAAGACAACCTGCAAATCATGTTTCCAGGGAGGCTCAGAGCAGTTAGAGAAGAAACTGTCAATCACTTTTGCATCCTGCCCTTCCAGACTCAGTCTCTATGTTGTTTGGCAAATGCCATGAAATTGGCTCTGTGATCCCCAAAAAGACTGTGCAAGACTTTGTCAAGTGCAGTGGAGAAGACAGTAGTAAATAAAAGGGGAGCTGGCTAGAAAGCCATAGTGCTGGAAGGGCTCAGAGAGCTCTCGTTATGGTGTGCTCTCACCTGATCAACATCCCCAGCTTGTTCTAGGAAGCTCTGTACCAGAAAGAGATCAGGGGATACAATGAACACAGCAACGCAGAACAGCAAACAATGATGAAGGCAGGGCTGGAGAGCTTGAGAGACAAAGAGGAATTAGCACACAGAGGAATGAAAACAAAAGAGGACACAGTCACCAGGGTAACTGGTTTCAGAGGGACTGGAACATCAAGGAGATGGTGGCCTGGACGAAGAGGGTATAAGCAGGGTATTGCTCCTTATAATAAAATATGGAAGGTAAAGCAGCTACCAGGCACCACAGCTGCCTGTAGCATCGCAGCAGAGAACATCTGGGCCCATGTTAATTTTATGTTACATGTACACAGCCTAAGGAAGGAATGATCTGAAAAACAAACAAACAAGCAAAAACCCCAGCAGCTCCAGAACTATCACTGGGAGAGCTGTTCTGCCATAAGCCCATGGTGTATTGCCAGGAGCAACATAAGTCTCTGCTGCTCTATCCTTGTGTGTAAAATAGACCTCGCTTTGCTACCAAGGGGTGCTGGGAAAATAACAGCAAGTCAGTGAGATGACAGCCACAGATACCTTATATGTGCTAAAGAAAGGTATGAACTGAGAAAAGGGCAAAGCAAGAAGGAGCCAGCAGCCTTGCTGAGAAGCCAGACCTGTGAAGGATCACAGTATCCCAGCTCCGGTCAGCACTGGAGGAGAATGGACTATAGGGGAAAGCTCTGACTTGGCTGCAGGGAGCAGAGAAGGGCAATCTTTTCCCAGAACAAGTGCCAGGGATGCAGGACAGGGAGCTCTGTGGAGCTACTCCAGCTTTGGTAGGGCAGGATGGATCTTCAGCTAGTCCAGAACATTGCAGTTCCCCCAAACTCCATGTCCTTTTCCCATTCCCAGAGCATCTGTCACTCCAGAAGCCACCAAGGAATCTCGCAGTGCCTCACAGTGGCAGGAGAGCAACTGGCACTTCACATCAGAGTTGACTGAGGGAGGAGAGCAGGAGGGACTGGCATCAGGTAAAAAGCAAGGCAGATTCCCACAAAATACCACGGGATGCCATACATCCTGAACATCCTGAACAGGCACGCGGTTGCAAAGACACTGCCTCAGAGACCATTTTGGGGTAAGGTGGGGCTTAGCAGAATGCAAAGCGGCATTAATCTTCTGGATCAAGATGCTCGAGCCCACTTAAGTATCTCAGGGGACCTCAGATGAGAAGGGTTGGATGGAAGCTTGAAATTAAACCAGTAAACCCGACTTACCTTTTCCATCCTCCTTGCCCCAATGCCCTGAGGTTATTTGGCTGGGGTTGGAGGACCCAGGCTGTCAGCTCAGTGAGTGAGAGAAGCTAGCAGCCCCTGCCTAGCCTCCAGCTGACAGCCCAGGGATGGGACACACAGAGCAGGTCTGAGAGCCCTGAAACACTCCTCCAAAGTCGTGCTGAGGCTGCATGTTCCACCCAGCCCTGCTAACCCAGGAAAAGCGCAGCCTGTCAGGTTTTCTCACAGGAAAGGCCGAGGAAAGTCTTTTTTCATAATGCACCCCCAAAAGGCCATGTTGGTTGCACAGGGAACACGTCAGTGCCTCTGCTTTTGCAGATTCTGTAGCCAGCCTCTGACCAAGTCCTGTGGCCTCCAGTGATGCTTATCCCCCAGGCCTCTGCCTGTGAGAGGCTCAGATGGTCCAGGAGGAAAAGAGTTAAGTCTGGCCATCCAGGGAGCTATCTTTGAAATCATGACAGACCAGGTGGATCACTCCAGGGCCTGTCCACAGCTGGGCTGGCCAGGACGGTGCTCCTGGCTGAGCACTTTGCAGGAGCACCGCTGAAACCAAAGCCATGCCAGCAGGTCTCAAACTAGACTGTCGCTTTTTGTTTCAGGATGCTCTGTTTCACAAGAAGGCAGGGGCTGGATGCAATCTCTCAACCTCCCTACTGGGAGCTGTTTGGCTTCTTAACTCCTCCAGGGGTCCACACAAAGGCTCGTGGAAAGCAAGGCTCCCCTGCAGCTTGGGCCCTGGGCCCAGCTGCCTCTCAAGCAGTGAAAGGAGAAGTTTGGTTCCTACCCAGGGCAAGGTCTCTGAGAAAGGAGAGGTTCGCCTAGCTACCTTCTGCTGGGTTGTGCTTTCCACTGGAATTTACTGCCTGGAGAGCTGCTTATTTATTTCTTGAAAGTTGTCAGGCTTAGTTCCGGGATGATGGGGGCTAATCTGTGCTTTTGTAAGAATGATAAAAGACCCGAGCTTCAGACTTAACTCTTGACTTTTATCTTCAGCATAACTGTATTTTGTCTCTTTCACCTCACTCACACATGGAGGCTCTGTGGGATTTACCCTGCCTTGGTAAGGACAGGAATGATTCTTGTCTTTGGGCAGCAGCCTCATGCCAAATGATGCCCTGGCTCCCCAGCCACCCCTTCAGGTGCTCTTGCTAGCACCTTTCTTTGTAACTTTCTGTGACTGTCACAGTACTCCATCAAACATTTTCTGTGCTTCACCCCAGAAGTGGCTGCACATGGAGGTGTGGGCTACTTCCAAGCCTAATACCTGTGAATCAAGTTTGTTCTTTAATCAGTGAAGCAGTCCTCCGCCCAATCCTTCCCTCCTAGGCATGACCTTACAAGAGACACTACCAAGCCCTCCCACAGCTTGCTACAAAGCTGGCTGAGTGGCTTCTTCTAACTGAAGACCCCCACTTTCTTCTTTCTCCTCCTCAAGTCTGTGGGCCTGGAGGAAAAAAAAAACCCACCACCCAACAGATCTGGGGTTTGCAAATGCCAAGAAACAAATGGAGGAACATGCTTACCCCATGCCAATGTCTGGATCTTTGCAGAAGGTATCAGTGTCAACCCGAGTATGGCCCCTAGATGCAGCAGGCTCATGAGAATGATATTCCTCCAGACGTATTGCATGGGGGGCTTGGGGCCCCCTTTCTCATGGTAGGTCTCATCAAAGATATCATCTATCATGCCCCGGTCTCCTGCCAGGTCCTCATGATTGAGTAAGTCCTTTTCCATGACAGCATCCCCATTCCTGGTCACCCGGGAGGTGACGGTGCCAACAGTGGTGGTGCTGGAAGTGGAGGAGAACTCCTTGGAGAGGCGGCAGTGGATATTTTCAAGAAAGGAAAAAGGGAAAACAAAACAAGAAGTTGGTGGTTACCAATGCAGGGAATAGAAACATAAGCAGCTACGCTGGCAGTACCAAGACTCACAGCCTGCAGTTTCCCTGGAAGGCTCCATTCTTTCAGCTGAGCCCCTGGCAACAAGAAGAGCCTGCTCTGGCCCCGCGAGTCATGGCCTGAGAGGGAGGAGGCTTGATCTTTCTGGGAAGAGCAGGTGAATGGTGGACAGGGTGCAGAAAGTAAAGAAAAAGACTTTTTTCGAGCAGTGGCTTTGGTGAGATCATTTGTAGGCTGCAAGGATTTCCACTTTCCTTCAGTTTTATTAGCGGATATTTTTAGCTGGGCTTGTGCATAAGCAAACAATAAAGGAAACCTTGTGAATGAACAAAGAGGTGGGAGAGAAATATGGTCTGAGACATGGTTTTATTATAAATCATTGGCCTGCTCCTGATATCCTGCCTCTCTGTGTCACCCCACCAGGGATCACTGGGAGAACGTCAGGAAGATTGACAGGTGGATTCCTCTGGGGTGCCTCCTTAACTCCCCCTGCCTCATCTTCCAGGCTAGGATGGGGCAAGACCGACATACTTGGAGGTCAGTGGACAGAAGAAGTCGAGCAATGTGCTTCCAGTTAGACCTACAGCTCCTATCCCATGCTTGCTGCTACGCCTCTTATCCCTGTCCCGCTTTCCACCCACAGGCAAACTGAGGCATGGGATGACAATCCCCTGAGCCGAGGCCACCTGCACGCAGAGAGGAAGTTTTAAGCAGCAAGTTGGCTCAGCCTGGCTCCCGGCTCCCTCCTGTAACTGTGACACAATATTCCCTCTGCACACGCTTGTTTGCCCTGGCTGCGTGACAGCCTGGCTGATCAGGCATGCATGACGAAAAGAGCAGGCAGGACTGACCCTAATGAGACAGGTCACTGAACCCTGAATCACTGATTTCCATCTCCATCATGACAGCCGCATGCTTGCTGGTGCTCACAGCCCTTTGTCAGGCCCGAGCCCAAGCACCCAACGGGACTCAACCCTAGGGGTGCCAAGCACGTGGGATGTGAATGGTGGGAGGGCATGCTGTCCCCATCTCCTCATCTCCTGGCAACCTGCCCGATGGACATGTCCCTCTGCCACCTGCACCACTGCCTCCACGTGCGAAGGGGCAATAAAGGTCATTTGGCAGGAGTGGGAGAGCCAGGACTGCAGGAGGGAGCGTGGCCAAGCTGGGAAAGCTCCTCTCCTAATAGAAACCTCTCCTGAATTAACAGCAGATTCCTGCCCAGGCACATGGAATTCATAAAAGACCACCATCCTGCCATGGCCTAGTTTCCTGAGGGAGGCATTAAAATCAGGCCAGGCAGCTTACGTGGCCAACCCAACTCCTCCCTTTCCCAAGGGTAGAGGCTAGAGGGTTACAGACATACCTTCCTACAGGGAGGAGCTGGGGAGGAGCTGGCAAAGTTGACAGATTCCCCACGTTTGGGAAGTAAAATGACCTCTACAGAGGGAGCCCTGTAAGTTTTTCCTTCTGGAATCAAAGGTTAAAAAAGAAAAAACCTGGACACGAAGTATCCTGCTGCTTTTTCTGAACCCAGGCAGCTGCTGAGCCTGGGACCAGCTCCCTCTGCATCCCAGCTACAGGCTGTCTCTGCCTACTTTCCTAATAAATGTTTTGAGGGTATGATACTCTGAGCTGATGGAGAATTTAGAGGCAATTCCCCCCCTCCCCCAAAAAAGCCATGAGAAATGTCTTCTAATCCAGAGATTAGGCAAGGAAAAATCCTGCCCGTTCCAAAGTGTCAGATATTCTCATCTGGCATTTTGGCAGGAAGTCACAATTTTCCTCCTTGGCTGGAAGACAATCTACCAAAAAGATCTAAGACTTGTCTATGCAGGAAAAATTCCCAACAGAGATCTGGTGGTATAATTAGACGGGTAGTGCTCCCCATATGGACATGCTGCTTCCACAGTAAGAATGTGGGGTTGGAGTTGCATTTTTCTCTTCCACGATAGCTTATGTCACTGTCAAAGTTACACAGGGGCAGAGGAGAAGGAGGGAGAGTGCAAAGAAAAGAGCAGAGAGGAAAAACCTCTTCTTCCAGAGTCGTAGTGGCCACATAAGGAATTTTACCATCATACCTATGCTGCTGGAATTACACTGATATAATCGAACTGGTCATTTCTCACATGCACACTAACCTTAAATCAAAAGGGCCAAAAAGCAGCTGTGAAACACAGCTCCATCATTACAGACTTAGTAGGGGGAGTATGGGGGAAAGAGGGAGTGAGAGCGGGCAGCTATTTAGCTGGAGACCAAGGAAATGAGGAGGAAAGAAAGATTTTTACCCTCTTGTAGCCACAGTGGCTCCTGCAGCTCCTATCAAGAAGAATGGGATGGGGATTGATCTGGGGTTTAGAGCTGAGAGGTGGAGGAGGCCAGCTAAAACATTTTCATGAGCTTTCCCTCATTTCTGAATGACTTTGCAACTCTCATCTGCAAAACAGATGTGTTCCCCCATCTCCAACCCCCCACCCCACCAGCACTGAACACACCATAGGTGATCCTGGCACACAGCCAGCTTATACAACCAACTGCAGCTCAAAGGCTCCTACGCTGGGTTCAGCGTAGGGGCCCCAGGGCACCGAATCTCAGGTCCAGTATATTTGAATATGCCCAATGTGACCCAGGGGACAAGATTCTTTCCAGGCTCCAGGATATGCCCCAAAATACATGCCAAGACCACCAAACATGGTCTGAGCACACTGGCCTTGGCATATGTTTTAGGTGGGGAGAGGAGTAAAGCTCTTTACATCACAGCATCCCTGGAAGGTCACGGCACCTGCACCAGAGGACTGGGGGAGACCCTGCATGCTGGCGACAGGCAAGAGAGTGGGGCTGTGATTTACCTTCACTCCTAGCATAAGCAGAAGGGGGAACGATGAGAAGGCAAGAGCAGGAATAGCAGAATCAGCCCCTGCCTCCCCTTGGGCAAAGGGTGGCTGCCAGGAGGGGCAAAAATAAAAAATAAAATCTCTAAAGATCCATCAGCTCTACGTATCTTCCCAGTGCCAGCTTGTTATTCAGACCTTCTTATGCCAAAAATGGGCAGTCTCCCCATTATACATTCGCTTGGCTCGGGAAATGCAGACACAGTCATTCATTTCATCTGGGCAGCTCACCGCTTTCACCTTGCGTCTGTCCTAGAGACGCTCCCTGCTGCAACATTTGCCTTAAAAACGCTGTAAGTGAAAGCCCTTTCTTATTAAAAAAAAAAAAAATTAAGAAAATATAAAAATCACAGTCTGAGCACTACCAAAAACCCCACGACCTCTTGGCACAAAAGACCTTCCCAAACAGCCCTTACCAGAACACCTAGATGGATATTTTTAAGATAAACCTGTACTTTGTGCTCAGTCTATCCGAGCCCATAGTCTCCACGGGGAGATAATCCCAGCGGCGGCGATCCCCGCTTCCCTCACTGTCTCCCCATGAGGCCCGAATGATGTTTTAAGTTAGCACAGAACGACTTCGCCTCATGACTGAGAAGGGGCACAGCGAGGACACAGGCACACATGTATGTGTGCATACGTGTGTGCGTGCGCACACGGCCACGCGTGGATGCCCAGACCGTTTTTCCCAAGACAGCAGCAGCGCAGCACTGCCAGAGCCGCGGAGACGATGGAGGATGGGGCGAGGGGAAGACAAAG